GTTATTGGGAGCATAGGTTTTCGTGGTTAAGACCCACACTTCGAAGTGAGGTTCTTACCCACGAAAGCTTATGCTCCCAATACTTCTGTTAGTCTCAAAGGTGCCACAGGACCCTCTGTTGCTTTTTACAGATTCAGACTAACACGACTACCCCTCTGATACTCTCTCTTCAAGCAAACATTAGCTGTGGGCGTTCTAAAGGGACCCCCTCCTGCCTGCCTCTACGCATTCACAGCAAACAGTAGCTGTGTTTGTTTTTTGGATAAGCAGCTCCGGGAGCCCGGAGTTCACAACAAAACAAAGAGAGGCATCACAACAATACAAGGAGAGGAAGCTTCACTTAAAAGGATTATGGGGAGTTTCCGGAGGTCAATCACAGCGTAATAAGGTAACTCCCCATTTACACTGGAGCACCAGCGTCTCAGCCACTCCTCAGCAGCTGTTATTCCTCTCGGGGAGGTGGAGTACATGCAGCGCTGCAGCCATGGAGATACAGCGCTGCAAATGCCTTGCCAGTGTGGACGGGGGGTGAGTTACAGCGCTGGGGACGGCTTTATTGCGCTGTAACTCGCAAGTGTAGCCAAGGCTTGAGATCGATCCACCCACCAAATCAACAGCAGATCGCTCTCCAGTTGACCCCTGTACTCTACCCCCAATGAGAAGAGTAAGGTAAGTTGACAGGAAAGTTTCTATAGCAGCCTATATCCCACTTTCTAAAGTGACTAAGGCACTAAGTCCCATTGACCACTGTTCTTCCAGTCACAGCTCAGGTATCACCTATCCCTGGGTGCTCTAGAGACATCTGTTTCCACTGACATGTGAAGTGTATGTTTCTTTCATCAGCTCCAGACTGGGGCGGCAGTGGAGGAAGCTGAAGGCAATCAGCATTCTTTTTCCTGGGTCTCAAGATACTTCACAAAGGGGTTGAAGAATCCAGAGAGGCGGAAAGAGAAAGTCTCACCGTTTTGTCTGGGGACAGGCTTGAAGCCCACATGTCCGGTTATTGGCTGGCTTTGGTTTGTCCCTGCACATATAGTCTGGATAGGCTTCATTGTCTATGGTGCAGAACACCAGGCGTGATTGGTAACCTAAAGGAGAAGAGGAAAAGAATATTCTGGTCAAAGTGGCCCGTCCATAAAAGAGATTTAAATGCAATGGTTTGGGGAATGGCACATTTCTGAGGTAGTCTGGAGCCCTCACAGCAGCTGCAGGCTGCCGAGAGAACTGGTCAGGTACAACTCCAGGATTCTCTATACAACCTGTTCCCCCATAAATTGTCCAGTGGTTAGGGCAGTAGCCTAGGACTTGAGAGACCTGAGTTCAATTCCCTGATGCTCCATGGACTCTCTGTGTCTCAGCTTCCCAACTGTAAAATGTGGATCTTAGTATTACTCTACTCCAGGGTGGTGTTGGAAGGATAAACACACGAACGATTGTGAGGTGCTCAAATACTCTGGTGAAAGAGGCTATAGAAATACCTACCCTAGATAGCGGCTGGGCCCACTGGAAGGGTAAGAGAGATCCGGAAGGAATTTTCCTTTAGCTCAGGTGGCTGTGCCCTGAGTTTTGGAAGTTGAAGAACCAGGATTCTAATCCTGGCTCCTGAGGGGTGTGCCCTGCCAGACATAATTTATCTAGTAATTGTGTCCGTTGTCTGCAACACATGGACTTGTTACAATAGCAGAGCTGTGGGTCAGCCCAACAAGGCTGGGTCTAAGCCAGGATGAAAGTGGATCAGCCCCTGGGGAAAGGGGCAACTCTGCATCCCTATTCCAGGATTATAACAGCAGGGGAGGTGATGTCACTTTCTACAGAGGCATCCTTGAACTCATATTATGGGCAAGAGAGGTAAGTCACTGCAGCAAAGAAGGTGAGAAAGGGCAGGCAGGAGCTCAGCATACTATGAAACTGGTTTTCATTGAGAATCCATGAGTGTGTTGACGTGTACATGGCGTGACCACAGGAGAGCTCTGGCAGCCTCTCTGCTGGATGGATGCTCCATATGGAGGCACTAGAGGTGGCAGGTTAAGTCACGTGGGGGTGAAGCAGCAAGGAGATGGGCTTGGTGAGGATGTGTTTTGGGTGGCTCGAGGGGGCAGAACTATGTGTAAAGGGCTGAAGCTAAACCAAAGAAAACTTAGGTTGGCTGTCAGGAAGAAATCCTTGACAGAGAGATCTATTGGTCTGGAAAACTGTCCCCAAGGGAAGCAGTGGGAGCACCATCACTCAGGACATAGGAAACTAGACTGGACAAAGCACTGAAGAACAGTATGTAGGGAACAATCCAGCAGTGACCCCCAGCCTGGCCTCCAATTCACAGACCCTTCATAGCCTACTGGAGCTGCCAATGCTCCTTAATCTCTCTGTGGGACAGCCCTGCGGATGGGGCCAATGACAGCTTTTCAGATGGCAGTATGTAGCGTCCTCTCTTTCGGATACTGGCTGTGCATTGGGTACTGTCTGCCGCTGGTGAGGGTGCCCCCAACCCTCTTACCTCCGCCGCACTCAGAGCTGCAATCACTCCAAGAGCCATAGCTCCAGCTGTAGCCCGAGCTGTACCCTTGCACGGGCAGGTAGTATTCATACTGCACCCCCTGGTTTGGCTCCTGGCTGATGAGCTGCAAAGGGAAGAGAATGAAGTAAGAGCCAGAAAACAAAACAGTATTTTCTCTCTCTCTCCTGGCTGCTCTTCCCGTCCTTATCTTAGGATCCATGCAAGGTAAACTCCCCCTTCTGCTCCCTGCACCCCTCTGTTCATTGGCCATTTATTTTGTGTGCTTTGTTTCCTCCCTAATACATCTTAGACTCTAAGACTTAGAGCACTCTTTCCAGCGAAGAGAGAGCATGCATATTTCTCAGAGCTGGTTGATTGTGCTGATCCTCTAATAGGCAGCAGGTGGTATCCTGGGCTGGCCTTACACACAAGCATAATGAATAGCTACTTGGGTGCCCCCACCCTATACCAGATCTTTAATTCATGAGCTTCCCCTATTATCTTCTTTAGCTTCTTGACCAGAAAGAAGAGACAGCTAGTCACTACCAGGTCTCCTCCTACTGCCTCTCTGGCAACAGGACCAGAGCAGACAGTGGTGTGAACATGGCTTGATAGTTCCCCTTCTTACAGGGGAAGGCCCCACAGATCATAAGGCTGGCCCTGGTGATATCCCTGCTCACTGGGCTCAGGTACAGGTGTATCACCTCCCCTGTCATCTACTGACATTATCCTGTAGAAACCAAGCACATCATCTCTGCAAAATGTGATGTGCAGCCCAAGACCTACAACCAGAGCATGATGACATTAAGAGAGGATAAACACAGCTGCTCACCTCAATGACTAAGGGCTCAGTGGTGGGACCCCTGGAGTGAAGCAGCTCAGGGGCCAGGTCCCCTTCAGAGCCTCGATCGTAGTGCACAACTGTGCTAGCGATATGCAGGTCTCGGCTGAAGTCAATCGTCCAGTGCCCATTCAGATAGTATTCCCCCTGCACATTCTTGATGGCTGGACAAAGCCGCAGGGCACAAGAGAGGAGGTGGGGGATGAATGGGTTGGAAGATCCACTATTCACATGACACGCTGACACCACTTCAACCAGATGCCATATAACATGGCTTTACACTCTGCTCTAGATCTCACAGGACATCAGCAACTCACGAAGCCCTCAATTCAGCCACTTGAAACCCAGCTTCCTCACGCAAGCACCACAACCTTCCTAAAGGCCGAGAGTAACTCCTGGGCTAACGTACCAGTGTCCATTAGACAGTGGCAATGGGTGCATCAAACATGGTAACTCACGGGAAATGAATGCCCTCTTGTATTCAGTACCTTCTGCATTGGAGATAAACATGTGTGTTTCCCTTCGGTGTTTGTTTTCAACAAATGCCAAGTCAAATCAAGTCCCTGTAGGAAATCATTATCCTGTGACAACATTCTAGCCCCACTGATGTTCCCTGCTTCCTTGCTCAGGCTCTCTGATTTTCTGCACGGTGAGCCTTTTTCACTGCAGGGTCCAACTCTTTGCCACAGATTCCATTGCAGCCCTTGCCGTATGCTCCATTCCCCACCTGATTATTGCATGTTCTGTTTGGTAGGCAAAGGTGTTTGTGTTGCAATGTGGCAGAGAACATTTTGACACCGTAATGAAAACTCTGCCGTGTTTGTACTGTACAAGAGCATGTCAGGAGTCCATCCATAGAGCATGGGGAAGATAGGGCCTAATGCACAGGGAACTGGCCAGCTCAGAAGAGGCCTGTGTGCTGGGAGCCCATCCCTAAAGCAGGAGTGGCAGAAGTTTGGATTTGACTTTACCAAGCTTTGTGGCAAACAGACAAACCCCGACTCATACTTTGCCATGTTTGTCAGACTCTTAGAAGTTCCAGGCAGAAGGTTTAAATAGGGCTTGGTCTTTTTATCCTTACATATGTAGAATCACAGTAGTGGTGCTGGGCCAAGTCCGAGTCCCAGGTCTGAGTTCTCTAGTTCCCTAGTTCTCCAATTGTGTTCAATATCCGAACCTGGATTTAGAACTGAACTTTGTGCCCAGCTCCTCCCTTTGCAGGGGGCAGGCCCAAGCTTCTGCCCCACATGCCCCTGAACTCTGGTGTTTTGGAAAGTCAGAATAGAATTTTGTGGCTTGAGTCCATTTCTATGGTGTCGTAATATATTCATTACAATGTCTGTCTTACCCAGGAAGTTCCTGCTGGGCCTAACTTCCTTAATGCGGAGGCTTGTGGCTCCCATGGGAATGATGAAGATTTGATTGTAACCTGAAGAAAATGAAGGAAGTTGGTCAAGGTACTGACAGACAGTGATGGAGGATGTGAGAGGCTCGCCCATGTGCATGGGAGCTGTCCCCAGCTGCACTAGTGGCTGCATGGATGAGTTATGAGATAACTGGAAAGAACTCAATCCAGCTGTTGCAGCTTCATTAATTTTAGGATGGCTGCACCCAGATTTGTTTCACTCATGGAGTAGTCCACCCACTTCATGGCTAAAATACATCTGAGAGCAGCGTTATCACAGCATCGCACCCTGAAAACAATACAGTTAGGGGCCTGTTTGGGCTTCCATTACAAACCCTAATTTTCAGTGTTTCCTATCTCGGACATTTCAAAATGCATCAGATTGAAACTCTGCAGACAAAGATTCATCCCAGTGCAATCATTAGGCTGAAGTAGTTCAGAGCCAGCCAAATGTGGGAGAGCCAGGTTCCAAGTCCTGGTCCCAGTCTCCCACTCCTTTGGGGGGTTCTGCAGACCTTGGGTAACCAGCTCCATTGCAAAGAGCACTTCCAGCAGGCATGCTCTGAGGGACAGTTCAATGGAACCTCTCTTGTCTAGAAGAGTTGTGGCATCTACAAGAGACTAAGAGAGGGGGAGTGGGAGAACCTTAGGGCTGCAGTGGGAAATAGGAGGGGACCCCCCCCCCCATAGAGGTGGTCATTATGTTTTCTAGCTCTAGCCTGCTGTATGGGTGGGTTGGATGAGTGCACTGGTCTAATGGCTCCAGTAAACAGAGAGAGCAGATAACTCCACCAGCTCCATGCAACGGGTCAAAATGAGACCAGGTTTACTCTGTCCTTCTCCCCTGTTCATCCTTCTAGAAAATCCAGACTACTGTACCTTTGGGGAGGCTGAGCACATCAAAAGTGCCCTTCACTTCGTAACAGGCCCTGCCATCCCCTCCACACTGCAGGCACTTATCTTCCTTCTTGGCAGAATTGAGCATGTCGTCACAGCCGACAGCCTGTCAGAAAACAATGCCATTAATGTGCTTAAACCAAAACCAGAGCATGGGGTGGGATGGAGACAGAAAAGGCCAGGGCCTAAACTGATCACTAGGAGGAGGATAAACTAGATAGCTCCGGGTGCAGTAGAAAGGGTGGGTGATTGGGCTGGTGGTTAACTCTCCCCAAGAGTCCACAGAAATATATGTACATGCTCCCCACTCTTCCTTCTGTTCCCTAGAAACCAAATGCATTTGCTGTGTTGTTGGATAATAAGGGCATCGTTTGGGAAGGGCTGGATAGGACAAAGGGAAATGCCAAGAAGACTGACATACACCCACTCTCTCTCATAGAAAAGGGATGAGGAGGTAGGATGACTTACTTGGCAGACTCCCTCGACACAAACATCCCGTTTGCCTGGCTCACAGGGCGTCCCATCAGCCACTGCTTCCTTGTGCCTGTAGTAGAAGTTCTCTCCCTTGGGAATACAGTTTAACTCGCATTTATTGGGAGCTGGAAGGGAAGAAAATAGCAGGTGTCACGTGACATGGTTAATCCCTTACAAACACACCATGAGCCTGAACCTGAAATGTGGGATTAGGCCCTGAGGAGTGGATTGCTATTAACATTAATGACTGGTTCCTGCAGAATACGTTCCCATGTAGTACGAGGCTTTTCAGAGAGAACAAATGTTAACACAGAAGAACACCAGTAACATATCAACAAAGAATGAAATTCTTCAGGTAAGCTTTAAAAAACCCAATAACTCAGAGCTGGCTGAGTGAATATGGAAGACAGCAGAGTCCAGTGGTTAGAGCAGAGAGCTAGGACTTCTGATTTCTATTCCTGCCTCTAAACTTGGTTCTCTGAGTGTCCTTGAGCAAGCCACATGCAGCAAGATTTTTGGCAGCGTTCACTAACTTGAAGAGCTTTATTTTTGGGGGGTCCAATCTGAGATACCTTTTGCCTGATTATCAAAGGTGTTGAACAGCTGCTGGAGCTATAGATTTCTGTGCCTCAAAGGCAGCCCTTGCCAGAGCGCTTGTGCAATTGTTCTGGAAGATGGTCCATTCCAACAGACACCTATAGCTGTTCCAGAAGAGGACCCCTCCGGACAGACACCTATGCATTTAGGACTGTTTCCAAACAGAGACCCCCTACTTTCAGGCAAAGCCAAACACCCCCAAATCAAACAAGTTTAAAACCTTGTATCCATTACCTCCATAATAAGGCAGCCACTTGTATCTCTTTCCTTGGAATTCTGTTCCATCAAACTCAGCACACTGCTCTGCTCGGAAGTCTCTGGAGCCCTCAGGGCAGCTCTGGGGGGGGGAAGAGAGAACCCAATCGCACAGCGTTCTCACAGGGAGGAGGGAGGTAAAGGAAAGGATCTCACTGGGGTGTGTTCCTCACAGCTTCCCCACAGACTGGCAATGACCAAGTCACTCCTGAATGCAGCTCTGACACATGACAGCGCATTACGCTGTCTCCAGGTCAGGCCAGCTTCATTCTTATCTTAAAGCAGGTGATTAGGGAACTGCTTCTTCCCAGACAGAAGGTCTTTGGATGGCTACCAAGCTAGAACCATGAACATCAACAGTATGAGTGCTCCCTGATTTCTTTCCATGGCGTTGTCCATAATAAACCAGACCCATCTCATAGTCAAAGGATTCAGACCCAGAGCCCTAAACCTTTTCTCATATTGTCTTCCTGCTCTCTCTGCTCCCCATAGTCTCTCAAATGCAACCTTGATGCTCCGTATGTGTTGGGAACCTCTGAATAGGCTCTGGATAATAGAAGGAATTCTCAGTGTAGTGAGCAGACACTGGGGTTTTCAGAAAACTGAGGGAGAGATCATTGTAACTATACTAATATCTACATGCTGCAATCACCAAACAGAGTTGGTATGTGCCCAGAATCTATTGCACAAGGGCACAAATTCTAGCCTGGGGCCTAATCACCTGTGAGCGTCCCCAAGCAATGTTCACCAGCAATACTGGCTCTGGTGCTCCTGGGGAGGAGAAGAATCCCATTGGCACTGAGAGGGCTCAGCACATGGCTTCTGAAGAAAATTAAGCTCCTCCGGGAGAGGAAGCAGCAGGAAGGAGAGAATGTACTGAGCACTGTACCTGAATATTGCACAAGCGATAGTTTCGAGTTGGTCCAATACAGTTAGACCCACCATCTGTCCTGAAAGACAGAGAAACAACATGAAGTAGTTCTGAAGAGATTGTAAATATCATCCCCATTGCTATTTATTAATAATCTCCCAGGTAACACAGTGAATTTATCAGCACTTTGCACACAGCATGCAGCACTAAGACACATTCCCTGTCCCAAAGAGCTAACAACCTAAGATATCCTATTTCTTTCCTACAATACTGAACCTGGCATCATTCAGCGCATTCTCTTGCTGTAATCTTGTTATAGATACAGGTAGTATATACACTATGTATTGCCACAGGGTGGTTTTTAAATTTTCTGGGGGCAACGTTTTCCCCCCACCAATTAGTGGAGGCAGTTTCTTTTATTCTTTGTCAGGCTTTTTATTAACACAAAGCTTGATGTCTCTAACAGCACCTGTGTGATACAGCATGTCTACCTGGGGGTGAGCAGGAAGAGTGGGTGGGGTGGCAATGGATATGAAGTCAGCGTGCACGCACACTTCAAACTACCCTGCCATTTACATTCCTGCTGTTATGGGACTCATTAGCTGGAAGAACAGAATGGCCAAAGGGAAGGGAGGTAACCATCTTCCCTGATTCTATATCTGACTCTTCAAAATGAGAGGGATATAGCTCAATGCCTAACAAGTTCATATCCAGGGAGAAATTGGATTTGAAAAAGCCATCTGTTGTACCCAGAGGCGGATTAGGGATTTGTGGGATCCTGAGCCAGAGCAAGTGGGGGCCTCTCTCCACCCTGCAGTTCTCCAACCCCACCCCCCAGACCTCCTGCTGGGGAAATGGGGTCAGGTTGCAGGGGCTTGCCCTGCCCTGGCCCCCCACGCCAGGCACTGCATGGGAGCGGGGTCCGGGCATGGGGTCATCCCCAGCAGGAGCTCCAGGTGGGCAGAGCGGGGCAAGTCCCCACATCCCGACCCCACTTCCTGGCGGGAGCAGGGCAAGCCCCTGTGCCCACCTGGCAGGCAGGTGAAGTGGGTCAGGACGTGGGGGTGCCCATTTTTCCGGGGGGTCCCCAAATTGGCCGGGACTCTGGACACAGCCCATTGGCTCAGTGGCTAATTTGCCCTGGGTTGTACCCCTCCTGCTTCTCTCTTGGTCCATCATCTCAGCACTTGTGACACAGCAAGGCGGGTCTCCAGGAATGCTGAGTCAGCACAGAGCAAGACAGGCCAGATCATGAAGCAAAGGGAAGAGGCATGCTTGGAGATTTTGTTTTTTTGAAATATTGCAGAACAATCAGAACTCTTATAAAAAGCCTATTTTAAAAGGAGATTGAGGAGCCAAAGGGAGCAGAAGGGAGGCTGCCTACTTCAGCTTGTGTTCTTTTTGGCTATGTCTACAGAAGGTTTTTTAGACCTATCATTATTAATGGGGGCAGCTATACCTGCTCAGGGAGGTTCAGTCATTGTTACCATCTACCCCTGCTCAGAGGTTAGATGACACAATGTTAACAGTGCCTGAACAATGGCCACCTTATGGCTTCTGGTGGTAAAGCAGCACCTGTTGGGAATCATGGGTCTGAAATAGAGGCCAGAAAATAGAAATCCCCTCCTGTGAAAAATGTCATTGGGGGTTGGGTGGAGAAATTGTCCCGATATCAAAAATGCAAAATTCTTCACGGGAAGGGATTTCCAGAACAATTCCATTTGGGGAGAACCGCAGGATTTAATCTAAGAGAATCTGACTGAGGCTGCCAGAGGCCAAGTGCCCCTGTTCTCTGACTTCCTGGCTCTTAGCCTCACCACCTCCTCTCTCTGGTAGCCCGGCAGCAAGGAGAAGAGAACCAGGGCGGCTCAGCTTCCCCACCAGAGAGACAGCCAGGTAGGGCAGGTGGCAGGAAGGCTGAGCACTGGGAAACAGGAACGCCTGAGCACTCAGTTGCCAACAGCCTGCCTGGAAGGCTCTTGTCAATTTTACTTTCTCCCTGAAGCAAAAAATGAAACTGACAAGAGCCTCTCCGGCAGAGAGGTTGTTTCAATTTTCCTGATGGACAATCAGAATTTTTCTGGGAATCCCTTCCGGGGGGGGGGGGTGTTTTTGACTTTTTGTCCCAATTTGGGATTAAATGTTTTTCGAAAATGTAAATTTTTTTTTGCAGGAAGGGATTTCCCTTTTCTGGCCAGATCAGTTTCACACCCATGATTCCCATTAAGTGCTGCCTCACCAAAGGAAGCTGTCATGTGGACATATCTTAGGCACTGTTAACATTCTGTCATCAAAAATCATTCCAATGGAAAATTTCCCACCAGCTCTGGTCTGAAAAATCTTAGCATAGACATGGCTTTCAGCCCGCAGGAGAATAATAGGCACAGGGGTGTGCACATTTCCCCCACAGGGCACCATAATCCTGGCCAGAAAGACACCCTTTTGCCATATCAAACTTGTGCCCCAAACACAACTTTTCTTGTCCAATTAACCTCAAACTTTCCAATGATGCCATTCTCCTCTAGCATGGGCATTTCAGACTGAAGAGAGCCCAGCCTGTTCAGAAAGTTAGAGGAAAAGCCCCATCAGGTTTATAACGAAAACTATGTGAAAAGCTTCCTATATAATAGAGTTTTTACTCTGACTCCATTATATATTAGAGATGGCCCCAAACTGTATCCTCAGATAAGAACCCCCCCTCAATCCACCTTGAATGTGTATCAGTTTGGATTTGTTCCCCTGGATCTGAACCCACCACCATAATTTTAGCTGTGGCTAGGGCTGAAAACTGGAAAAGGCCTATTTTCTGGATCCAGTGGGAACAGCTGGTTTAAGATATTTGGGCTGAAATTTTGACAGAAAAGCTGATGCAATTTTGGCATCACCAAAATCAAATTTTAGCCTTGTTCAGCTTTGAAGCCACACTCCAAACCCTAATAAAAGAAACCTAAGGCCAGCTCCTAGGCTGGTGTAAATTGGTGAAGCTCTATTGAGGCTAATGGAGCAATGAGGATTTACACTTGCTGAGGATCTGGCCCCATTCTGGATCCAAACTCTGCCTCCCAGTTTCATCTTATCTCTATACACTATATTCCACTTCATCTAGATGAACTCTTTTGGGGGAGAGCTGCTTATTAGAGATGCCTTCCAGAAAACAGATTTAGCCTTGTTTCCATGCAGGGAATAAGAGAGGTCAAACTTTCTTTGGTAGGTGATTGACAGGTCATTTCACCAAGAGACATTAGAAAGCTACCCTGAGCTACCTGGTGATGCCTCTTATGGGAGGAGAAAGAGCGTGGTAATATAAAAAGAAGAAAGCCCTCACCTTTGCGAGTAGCAGCGCCGTTGCCGAAAGCTGATGCCCCCACCACAGCTCCGACTGCACTCGCTCCATTCTCCCCAGCCCCCCCAGAAATCAATCTGCCGCTTTGCCTTGCGGGCCTGTGAAAACCAAACATTCAAGTGAACATGGTGAGACAGAACAAAAGCAGCAACATTGAACCAACTACTGTGACGTTGCAGTCTATATGATTTTATAAAAATTTGATAATGAGTGAATATAATGTAACTGGAATATGCTTCACGCAAAAGGTCTCTTGTAAGGTATCATTACAAAGCTTATTATCTACTGAGTATGATCATCCTATTTGTATAAATGTACCACTCTTGTGTCTGAAAGTAGAAATATGAAATATAACTCTGCAGGCCTATTGTAATTATGCAAAGTGTGGGCCATTAATGGTGGTTTGGAATCTTGATGACTCCCATTAACCAGGACCATTGTCTGCAGATGGGTGTGTTTTACCTGTAAGTTTTCCTGTAGGTGTGTGTGCTGGCAAGTGGGCAATGAAGTCTTGCAGTGACATGTGATCATGTCACCTGAACTGGAATCCATCTTTAACCTAGGGTGACCAGATAGTAAGTATGAAAAATTGGGAAGAGGGTTGGGGGGTAATAGGCACCTATATAAGACAAAGCCCCAAATATCGGGACTGTCCCTATAAAATCGGGACATCTGGTCACCCTACTTTAACCTGGTGTCTTTCCATTGAGAAGGAGGGGGTGGAAACCTAGAGAGGGACAAAGGATTCCCGCCTTATGCAAAAGATATATAAAGGGGAGGAACAGAACAAAGAGGAGAGAGGCGCCATCATGAAGAATCCCCTAGCTACCACCTGAGCTCGAACAAGAGCTGTACCAGGGGAAAGAATTGTGCCCAGGCCTGGAAGGGGTCCAGTCTGAGGAAAAAAACTTACTGAAGCATGTCTAAGGGTGAGATTATTTGGTTTGATTAGACATAGATTTGCACATTTTATTTTATTTTGCTTGGTGACTTACTTTGTTCTGTCTGTTACTACTTGGAACCACTTAAATCCTACTTTCTGTATTTAATAAAATCACATTTTACTTATTAATAAACTCAGAATATGTATTAATACCTGGGGGAGCAAACAGCTGTGCATCTCTCTCTATCAGTGTTATAGAGGGCGAATAATTTATGAGTTATAAGCTTTATACAGGGTAAAACGGATTTATTTGGGTTTAGACCCCATTGGAAGTTGGACATCTAAGTGTTAAAGACAGGAACACTTCTGTTAGCTGCTTTCAGGTAAACCTGCAGCTTTGGGGCAAGTAATTCAGACCCTGGGTCTGTGTTGGAGCAGATGGGAATATCTGGCTCAGCAAGACAGGGTGCTGGGGTCCCGAGCTGGCACGGAAAACAGGGGGCAGAAGTAGTCTTGGCACATCAGGTGGCAGCTCCCAGGGGGTTTCTGTGATCCAACCCGTCACAACTACATCATGCTGTACCAAGCAAAGGTGTTACCATTCCCTCTCCCTAGCTAATGGGTAAGGAGATAGAGGGAAAAGGACAAGAGGCAGGAACAAAAAGCCTTAAGTACTAGAAAAAGCATCTAATGCCCCACCCACCCACGGGATAGCAAGCCCAAACATCTAAACTGCAATTTTATGGCCCTGCAGACCAAGTCCTGTGAACTTGAGCCAGCTGATCTAGGCCCACCATGGCTGTGCTACAAGTCTTTTATTGCAGCACAGGTGTACAGGCCAACTCTATTCACCTTCAATCCATTCGCTGCCTCCGAGAAAGGATCCCAGCTCCTTGGAATGTTTACGTCTTTCCGAACACTCTAGACCAGCGGTTCTCAAACTGTGGGTTGGGACCCCAAAGTGGGTTGTGACCCTGTTTTAATGGGGTCACTAGGGCTGGTGTTAGACTTGCTGGGGCCTGGGGCTGAAGCCAAAAGTCTGAGCCCCCGGCCCAGAGTTGGAGCCGAAACCTGAGGATTTCAGCCCTGGGTGGAGGAGCTCAGGTTACAGCTCCCACCCACCCAGGGCAGAAACCCTCAAGCTTTGTCTTCGCCCCCCCAACCTGGGGTGGGGGGTGGGGCTCAGGCTCCCACTTTGGCCCCCCTGCCTGGGGCGGAGGGGTTTGGTCTTCAGTCCCCATTCCCAGGGTCATATAGTAATTTTTGTTGTCAGAAGGGGATCATAGTGCAATGAAATTTGAGAAACCCTGCTCTAGACAGAAAGCACTACTTCCCAGATTAGGAAAAAAGAGATGTTGACATAGGCATCACCATCCCAGACCAGATCAATAGAGCCATGTACTCCTTTATCCTGTCTCCAGGCCCGATTCTTAAGAGAAAGGCATAAAACACCTACAATGCAGCTGTCTGCAATACGATTCCAGGGAGGGACATTTTTTCCTGACTATCCCTGGTGATCACCACATGCTCTGGACATCAGCATTGATAGCCCTAATCATGTTTGTATTCTAGATGATATAACTGAGGTATGAGTGTCAAGGGAACCCACAGATACACTTTAGACTAGGATAAGATATTGGTACTAAGCGCAATGCTATCAGTAAGAGAACATTGCCCCAGAAGGGTATAAAATATTGTAGCTGGGGGAAACCTGGCTCATCGCAGTCAGCATGCTCTGTATAGAGAAGGATGTGGAACTCGGGGAGGGGGGAGATATTCTGAGAAGGAATAATGATTGCAGGTATGCAAGATTACTTACTATGAAATTATTTGGAAGAAAGAAGGGGGGGAAACAGTGCACCCCAAGGAGAGATAGGAGTCCTGGAGCAATAATACATTCTGGATTTAGAATGGTAATTGAAAATAAGGTTTGTAACTAGGGTTGTGTGTCTGTGTCCATAGGGCTCTGTTTGCAAAGCCTGCGGTTGAGAGGGGCTAAGTGTGCTGCTTGGGCAGTAAGCCAATGTTGCTACCGACTGGACGATGGAGCTGAGACAGATATAAAAGGTTGCAACAGGAGTCAGTAGCTGTCTTTACACCCACTCCATTTCCTTTGCCCTTTAACGTTATAATTCTATCCAAAAAGCAATCGAGTTTATCTGGCAGGATTTATGAATCCAGGATGCCTACTGCTAATGGTTACATCACTCTCAAGGGCCCAGAGCCTGGGCTGCATCCAAGCTATATTGGGTACAGCTCAGGAAGGGAGGGGTGCAAAGGTGACAGTGTCTTTGGGAATATATCCAGAGCTTCCCTAAACATTCTTTGGTACTTTAAATATGAACACATGTAATAGTCAAATCTTAGACTATTTACAATCTTGCAAAAAAGAGCAGCAAAAGGCTATTAACCTCCTGTGTGCTGACTGCCACTGCAACACCTGTGCAATGAAGGCATGTGTGTTCTTGATAAAGCTGGCATTCCCCTGCACCCAGACAGCATCTTCCAGTTGCACTCTGGGAATGGTCTCCTGCTGAAGAACAAGCTGTTGCAGGCTGGCATCACAGCATGATGACATCACTCATCGTGATCTTATGTTGTAACAGAATAGTTGCTGGGCTGGGTCGGATCAGGCTGATCCTAAAACGGTTGTTTCAGATCTCCAGTACGACTGTTGGCCCAGCCATAGCTTGGCCTGGCCCTTGTAAACTATCAAATTAGTTCTTCCCCAGAAAACAGTGTGTAAATTCCCCCTTGTCTTCCGGAGATGGCTTTTTTATTTTCTATCTGTATTTCCTTGCTTGTATACGAGTCCTTGGTGTAACACCCGCAGCTGTCTCCCCTCCTCTCTCCCTCCTGTACAGAATGTGTCTCCCTTTGCTGATACAACTGTCACAGGAATCATCCCGCTATATTGCTGTAACTGCTACCAAATCGCACTCATGATTGTCTTGCTGCAACATCCCCTTGAGTTCTTCCTACCTAGTCCCTGTGATGCCCTAGCATTTGTAAGGATGCACTGGAAGGAATCGTTCCTTCTCCTTGCACTTTGCTGTCCTGTTTGCGTCATACAAGCTATGTACAACCCTCTCCAACCTCTTCCACTACAAGTCTACAATCCAAATCCCTTGAGATGAATCCTTTGGTGCTGACCATCTCTCTCATCCTAGCTACAGCATACCTGACTCAGAGAAACTGCTCTCTCTGCATTACAGGCACTTCCATGCACTTTCCCCCTTCTAGTAAATATCTCCCTGGCCAGAGCACCCATTGCTGGTGCATAGGGCCCAAAGCTGAACTCTTATTCATCAGCCTGTCTCACTCATTCATGCATTTCCCCTCAGTCAGAAATAACCTGCTGGATGTCAGTCTCTCCTTCCCACCTCACCATTTTAGGAATGGTCCCATCTGTGGAGTTTTGGGCCTCTCAATCTTTTAAATTGATCCTCCAGCCCCCTACTCCTGTCCTCTGTATTGGGTATCAGTCTGTATACGCCTTCTCTCTCCTCCTACATCCTCTGCCCCTATACACAGATATATGAAACATGCTACAGATCTGTTGCTCTGTGGTGTTTCTCCTCTCTACCAGCTGGCTGATTCAGAAGCAGCACTCTGGAAACAAAGGATCTTTCAGCCAGCAGAAAGAGGAAGAAAACATCTAGATCAAATACTGACACAGGGCAGCTGAGAATCAGATAACTGGGAGGGGGTAGAAAGGCAGCAGCTGCCCTCAAGCCCTCCCTCAGGACATGGCCCGGTGTGATAAATATTCAGGCATTTCTGCCATATAAGTATTGTCGTTCTTTCTTTTCTGTACACAAAGTGACATCCCCAGGGGTGCTTTACAGTGAGGTTTATGGGCCTGCAGAGCCCAGGAGCAACTCAACACTACTTCGTTTAGCCATAGCGCAAAAGGGATATCTCAGCAAAAGAGCCCTTGCTGAGCAGTATAGTGACAGGGGAGTTTCCCATTCTGGGCTCACTGCTCCCATATATTCAAAACAATGCACTGGGCTTGTTTTGTGTGCATGTGTACAGACTTGCATAAATAGATATTTTATAGGTCTGTGTATTTATGACAGATACAAAATCTATTATTATAGGATCCTTATAACGAGCTGTTTCTAGATGCCATTATCCAGTTTTTGTCCCAACAGCCTTCCTTTGCTCTGCTCAGCTTCTGGTATGCTTTCATCTATTGTCAGCCATGATGACTAAACCCCTGTCCCTGCTGGACCCTCGAGCAGAATCCACAACGTTCATTATTAGTGTACCACCCAGCTCCATTTTCCTGCCTTCAGCAACACACATCCACAGAGTTCTCTAATTTGCCATGGGTGTGCCTAGGAGAGCATGTTTTAACATGTCAGAGAAAGCAACCAGGGTACAGAACTGCCCTCCCTGACACACAAAGGCATCAGAAATGCAAGCCCTGGTTAGCTCTCCTTATTGGGCAGCCGTCCATTGGGTGGAATGGTTAACGCAGTAGAATGACACATTCCCCCTTGCCGACTCTCTCCTCTGCTTGGACGTCTTGTACTCCAGGGGCATAGAGGATTTTAAAGAGTAAGATTACTCAGGAGAGTGGGATATTCGTGTGACATGCTCTCCATGGTCTGTGTGGCAGAATAAATGGACTGCTGTGCTCCAGAGCCAACATTAGGCATAAGCAGACTAAGCAAGTGCTTTAGGGGCAGCTCAAGGGGCCACCTATTAGCTTTTTATTATGTTTTAAGGGGGGGGGGCAAAACATTCCTGCATATGGCCCCTACTGGGCTAGCACCCCCACAGTGGTGCTTTGAACCAAGTGGAACTTTTTAATAGTCTCATTTCTAAGTTTAGCGTAACATTTGTAACTCCTGGCTTCGGGTGTTGCTGACCTGATTTGTGGCATCTTCTGCTTATAAAGACAACTGTGTCCAGAGTAACCAGTTAGCGGTGTAAAAGGGATACCTCCAGCTCCTGTGAGGATTGTTACACACCCTGCCTTTGAGAGTAATTCCAATATACACAGTGCTCTAAGGGGCCCATGAACCAATCAGGATACAAACAGAACTTATAGCACAAGGTACTGTGGGGAGGAGGTATGACACCCAACTGGGAGGGGTAGACAATGTTGGCAGTACCTGTGTGGTGTTGGAGAAGGCCCTTCGGGGATTTCTTAGCTGCTCAGGGAGACGAGAGAGAGACAGACAAGTAGATAAGTAAAGAGAGAAGGCTGTGTATTTTGGACAGACAAGGCAGGTGAGGTAATCTCTTTTATTGGACCAATTCCTGCTAGTGAGAGAGAGACCAGCTTTCGAGCCACACAGAATTCTTCTCTGAAAACTTTATAGAAAGCTTGTCTCTCTCACTAACAGAAATTGGTTCAATAAAAGATATTACCTCACCCACCTTGTCTCACTAATATTCTGGGAGTGACATGGCTACAACTACACTACATAATGCAAACAGACACAGCACTGGCAGGTATCAGGCATAAAATTCCTGTTGAAGACACAATGGTTTTATAATTATAGCATCACTTTATGGCTAAGAGGGAACTTACATTCTAAGGTTCTATTTTTCATCATTTAGGGCCCAATCCATGTCATTAGAAAGATTTTAATTGGCTTCAAAGAGCTTTGAATCAGACCCTTTAGAAGTTTCCCAAAGAACTGCACTGGTCACTGTATCTAATCAGCCCTGTTCTCCACTAAGTTGGCAACTTTATATTGTGAACTGCTGTTCAAAACTCCTTGGAAATTCCTCAAAAACAAACAAACAAAAAAACCCACACATTACTTGAGCCACAATGAGCATTTCTGGGGTTTACTGAACCCAATAATCCAATTATTAAACTCGACATAGATCTGGTACAAACCTTGCTTATTTGGGCACACAATCTTATTTCCAAAAAAAAAAAAAAAAAAGGTAGATGAAAAGTGCCTCCACATTGGAGGACTAGCTACAAGAGTCTGCACAATGTTACCTGCTGGAAGAGAAGGTCTGGCTATCAACTTCAGTGATAAAAGATTAACGTAGACTTGGTTCCCTGTGTCTTACTGTCAAGACACATAGAACATCTGTAGCATAAAAAACTACAATCATACCCAGAGACTGCATAGGTCATTTCTCATATCCAGTTTGATCTTACAGTACTTTGCATTTCTTAGATAACTTTCCATGCTTTTATTTGCTAAGTGTTTAATGGCATCAAGTTTATCTTTGTATTGATGCACCCTTGAAGTCTAATCAAGGGCAAACATTTCCATTTGGCCATTGTTGAGATATGTGATTGTGAGGTTGGGGGAACAGTTATTTCAACATACACAAAAATGTTCTGATTCTTCCGGGTTGATCTCAATTTATTTCATAATGGATTGACTGAGAGAGTCCACTCTTGCCGTGCATGGAGTCCTCAGCAAGGAATGTGACTTTGCTGTGTTTGCAAAATAATTTGCTGACAAACAAAAGTTATCAATGAGAAAAAATGGTGTTAATGGTCTTGAACCAGGTCATCCTCCACATGGGGATTGGTCCTGCTTTGAGCAGGGGGTTGGACTAAAATGGGGGGAGGGATAGCTCAGTGGTTTGCGCATTGGCCTGCTAAACCCAGGGTTGTGAGTTCAATCGTTGAGGGGGCTATTTAGGGATCTGGGGCAAAAATCTGTCTGGGATTGGTCTTGCTTTGAGCAGGGGGTTGGACTAGATGACCTCCTGAGGTCCCCTCCAACCCTGAAATTCTATGATTCTATGTGGAAAAATCCTAGCATCTGTGGCGCATTATGATCATCTAAGTAGTAATAATCTGCATGTCATTTTCCTGAGTGACTGAAGGCCCAATCCTACAAGGTGCTGATCCCTCAACTCCCATTGACGTGAAGGGGAGTTGATGATGCTCAGCGTCTCACAGGCCTATCCTGTAGAAACATGACAAGTGCAGTTATCTGGGTATATGCAGGTGGATTGATTTTGGATATACAACTCATTTTAGGCTATTGGTGTAACAAAACAAATGAGAAATAAATGGATGTCCTATATAAATAAGGCAAAAGAAGAACCCTCAACACAGAGTGCTGCAGGCAGGAGTTCATCTTCTGCCTTCTAGTGCTGCCTGTATATATTGCAGGCTACAGCTAAATCTCTGCTAACTCTGGCCAGGAGTCTCAGACACTCTGTTGTGGCTGGACTCAGGCAATCATTTCCAGTAATTCTGTCTTAACTCCTCATTATTCTTGCCTCGGAGACACGTGTTCGTAAAGATCTTTAAAGCCAAAAAGTGCTAAGTATCATTATTATGAATAATACAAAAGTCATCAAGGAAATGCATTCAAACAAAACAGGAACAACTAAAACAAAACAAGGTGGTGGCAGCAGGAGATGAAACACTAAATGGTACAGAAGTAGTGAGCACCATATTAAAGAACATCACATTAACCTATACATGTAGGTGTAAATGTAGAGATACCAGTGGAAGGCAGGAGTCTCCAGATTAATACACACTGGGTAGGATTTTCAACCAGGCCTCAAAACAGCCTCCTGTTGCTATTCAGTGTGGGGGCAAATTAGACATCCCCTAACTACCTGAACAGCCAGATCGTGTACCCCTTAAAATGCTGAGCAGTTACATACTGGAATAGGCTGAGTGACTTCAGTGGGACTGCTTTGATGATTGGGATTGCCACCAGCATGGGGAAGGGTTTGTAATCTGGCCCAAAAGGTGCAAAACATGCAGGGTGCAGTTATTTGCAGGCACAAATTACACTTGCACAAATGGAAGCCAGGACAAGGCCTGGCTGGAAATCAGGCCCATTATGTACCAAACAGTCAAAATCTGCATAGCCAAGAGGGAAGGATTACTCATGTGCAAGACCTTGAGAAAGTGGCTTTTATCTGAGCTTTGTCTACAGCAGGAAAATTCACTCTAGTCTCCCGTGGCACAGCTCCACATGCAGTAGCAGTGGTGGAAGCTGTACTGTAGACAGAGCTCGGGCAGTTTTACTGTGGTGTTATCTCCCCCTGCTCTGAGTCTCAGTGATAAAAAAATGCCTCACTCCTAGCCTCCACCATCATTACCATTGATTCCAACTTTCCTAGAATGGAAGCAGCTTTAGGCACTGAGGCCTTTGTCTGTGTTGTCCATCTGTCCTGTCTTGTCCGACACCTAGAGTGTAAGTTCTAGGAGGCAGGGACTGTCCTCTTTGTTACTTGTCTGTACAGCATCTAGCACAATGAGCCCATATCCTGCACCTAGGCACTACTAATACAAACAACAGAGGAGATGTTGGCAGCTGGGCTGGTCCCCTCTATGGAGCCTGGGGTCCCTCATGTGTTGGGAAGAGGAGAGAGAGAGAGATCCTACTGGTTCTGCTTGGTACCAGCATGTTCTGGCTGGCAAGGAGGGGAGGCAAAGCCTGGGACAGCAGGTGCTGCTGAGGATGGAGCATTGGGAGATAAACTCCCATCAGCCAGCTGGTGCTGCAGGCAGTCAGTGCATCTGAGTTCCTCCTAAGTGCTGCCTATTGCAGGCAGCAGCTAAATCTGCAGCTCACTCCGGCCATGAGTCTCAGACACCCTGCTGAGGCTGGACCCAGACAAAATTCTCAGTTGTCACCTATGCCAGCACCTCCCCACTCAGTTATCTGCTGCTTTCCCTGATCTGACAGTTGATGTCATTAAAATAAAAAAAAATTGCCTACTCCGGACTAAAACCGGGAACACGAAAAGGGAGAAGAGAAGGAAAAGAGCAGCCACTAGGACTCACCCTTCAATCAAATTAGTTTAAAGGAGTCCTGTTCACAAGCAGGCACACACGTGTATGCACACACCCCTGCCTGCAACTCCACACCCAGTTGATTTCTATATGTGCATCATCATTATCAGTCTGTATCATTTCCAAGTCTATGCTCTCGAGCCACCTCCACTGAAGGCAGTCTGTTTTAAGGCAATGTCATCACATGGAAGTGGTCCTAATCAGTGTAGCCAGGCAGCATGCATCCTTTGGGGCATGTGGTTTAGCTGTTTATCAGAAGGCCTTCTTCCCAAATTCCCCTCCCACCCAATGATAGCAGGGAATTTCAGAAGCCAGCAGACTAATTTCTGTAGAAAGTTTGAAGATTTGTGTGGGCACATGCTCAATTTTGGAACACACTGGGCCCAATCCTACTCTGAGTCATGTCATGCTCAAACTCTCATTGGCTTCAGCGAGAGCAGATTCAGCCCCATGATGTGATTCATCAACCTCCACTCGCTGTTCTCAGAGCTGAGACAGCTGGATTTTCCACAACATTCAGAGCTACTAAAAAGGGGGGGGTATAATCCCTGTGTCTGCATACACCCTTTTCAGCACCCCTGCACACATCCTCCTTATGCGCTTCTCCTCATACTGTTAATCCATTAAGCCATAAGGGGTTTGCTGTCATATACTAGCCTATCCATGCACCCATTCAGCTGGGGAATCATAGCGATCAGCCAGTGACACTGTGGGAGCAGGGCAGGACATATAGATTCTTTTTCAGGCACTGGTGTGGGAGGCAGGGGAATTAATTTGATTCATTTTATTGTCCATGAAAGAATTAAAGGCAAATACAGTGCAGGCAGGCACACCGCAAGCCTCTCACATATAGCTGTCCCAGAGCCCTTCCAACTGAGCTGCATCATCCCTATTATTCAATCCCCTACACAGCTCTGGCAACGGACCTCTTTACTGATTTGACACCCCAACAATGTTTTCAATCTTAGCACATTGCCCACTAGGCAGTGGTAGGAACTCTATAAGTAACTTTAAGTTCCTATCAAGCTGACCTGCCAATGCCCCTGCTATTCCAGTTCTGGGTCCCCTCAGAGTTTTGTCAATACATCTCAGTCCTGCCCTGCAGTATCCCATCTCTTCCAATCCTGCATTTATTCTGAGCAAAGATTGGCCAATAATATGGACATGTTGGAGACTAGGTAGGGACACATACATGTCACTTATGACATATGTGAAGCATGAAAATAGGTTTCAAGAGGTAAAATATTATTATTAAATTATATAGCAGCAAAAGTATGCTTGTGTTTTGGGGAGTTACCTTCTGCGAGCTAGCCCCTTCCAAAAGGCTACACATTGAGAGGTTTTAATTCATTTCCTGGTTTAGATTTCCAGCAAATGTGAAGATAACTCCTAAAGTTCTATCTTTCTGGCACCTAGTAGGGAAATGTTCTAAATTGGGGCTCTTTTAGAATAGCAAAAACCCAGTGTCAGCTGATACAGCATGGACTTTTGACCTGGGGCTTCTATAGAAGAAGGAACATTAGCAGTATCCTATTAGTGATTAGAGGTGTTTATCCAGATGTGTGTCCAAGGGCCCTGGTTTGTTACTCAACCCTTGACAGAACATTGTGCATTTGTATAACACATAGCCTCCAGCAATGACAGTTGCCTATGCTCTGATTCATCAGAAAAACTTCTGTCTGTATTTCTAGGCAAAAGGTTGAGAGCAGTTTACAATAGAAGAGTTACTGTGTCTACAATGAAGCCCACACATGACGGTTAGTTTTTTTTTTCATGCTGCCATGTCACTGGACAGTCCTTTAAGCCCCTTTTGGAGTACCATTGACTCCAGAGGTCCATACTACTCTGGCAAGGCTGAAGGGTGAATTACCTTTATACAAATACAACCATCTCACCTGACTCCTATTCTACATATGACTTGTCTGACAGTGAACACAAAACAACTGTTCCTGCCTCAGCAGCAGGGCTGCTCTGGGATTAGCTCCTACTACATCAGAAGAGGAGTAACAGAGCTCCACCATTTTAAAGACACAATACCTTTCATTAGAGAAAAACTGTCCCCCCTGCAAAATGTTTAAGTGCACTTTCCAATTCAGATATTTTCAAATTCTCACTGAACTCTGTGACTACAGGAATCACAAATGGGGGAGGGACATTTTTAATGCCATGTGAGGCAGATTAAGTATGAAAGTCCCTTTATGACGATGAGGAGTTATGCCTTTAATCTGTCATGGAGGGAACTAGGAATGACCCATCTGAATGCGTTGGTGCTTCCATTCCTCTCTCGACTGTTAAACTGCATCTCCTCACACCTCCTTAGCTGGGCAGTTCCAGCATCCAATGTGGCTCTCACACCACAGAGGCACTTAAGGACAGACTGTTAAACTTCCCCTCCTCTACAGATGCACCACCATTTCCATTCATTACACATTCTTTCAAGAGAAGTTACTGACTTTAGGACACCGTGTCTAATATCAGAGACAAGCAGCATAAAGCCATCCCCCAGAGATTCTCCTGCTTCACAGTTTCACTGGACAACGTGGTGCGTTGCTCACATGGGATGAACTTTTTTGGCTCTTTTTTGGCCAAGGCTGCTGGTTTTGAACCAATTGCGTTAGCAGCTAACAGGGAGAGATTGTGTAACATACCCAACTAGCTCATAGACTTTCTAATGCAATGACTAGCATGTGTGTGTATCACTATCACCTCAATGGAGACGTGGAGGACAGATACAACATCAAGTCTGGTGGCACCTTAAAGACTAACAGATTTATTTGGGCATAAGCTTTCGTGAGTTAAAACCTCACTTCTTCGGATGTATGATGCATCCGAAGAAGTGAGGTTTTAAGTCACGAAAGCTTATGCCCAAATAAATCTGTTAGTCTTTAAGGTGCCACCAGACTCCTTGTTGTTTTTGTAGATACAGATTAACACGGCTACCCCCTGATACTTGACAACATCAAGTGTATGTCAGTCAAGTATTAACTTCTTCAAGTGCATGTATGTAGTCATTTTCAAGCAGGACACCCATTACCCCAAGTTCTCTACAAACACTTTGGCTGCCAAAGTTGAAACCCTCTACCCCAAGTTTCACGCCATCCCTGGTAACAGCCACTCTTGAGAAAAGGTGTTTAACTTACTGAAGATGCAGGAAGTGGCATCATTGTTAGCGTGAGCAGGAGGAACAAGTTCTTCATCTTCCTCTGTGGAATAAAGAGAACATTGATCAGAACTGCTGGTTTCTTGCTCCTTTGTGGCTAGAACTCTCTGTGGAGCACAGGTCAGGGATGGAGGGGGGCAGGCTGGTCTGGTGGGAGATCTGATGGAAGGGACCATGGAGTGAAATAGAGGGTAGGTCTATACTTACCTCCGGGTCCGGCGGTAAGCAATCGATCTTCTGGGATCGATCCCGGAAGTGCTCGCCGTCGACGCCGGTACTCCTGCTCCGCAAGAGGAGTACATGGAGTCGACAGGGGAGCCTGCCTGCTGCGTCTGGACCCGCGGTAAGTTCGAACTAAGGTACTTGGACTACAGCTGTATTATTAACATAGCTGAAGTTGCGTATCTTAGTTCGAAGTGGGGGGTTAGTGTGGACCAGGCCAGAGACTCAACAGGAAAAGGGGATGGACTGAAACCAAAGGCAAGTAAAAGGTAGTTTGTCACTACGTATCCCAGACAAATCAAGGCAACTATGAAGACTGAAATTATCCTCCACAGAAAGCCAGCATGTAATTACTGATCCCCAGCATTTCTCCTAAGCTTGCCTTTGGCATAATGAGATCACCATCACAGGGCTTGGAGAGGAGGGGAGAGGGAAACACATGCTGTTTCTTGTCCTCCCACCTACCCATTTATACATACAACACATAGGTTTTTTTAAAAAAAAGGTATTTAAAATAATGTTCTGACTTCAGCCAATCAAAACCAGGAAATTCCCAGGTTAAAGATTCTTTCTGCATCTGACTCACCCTGTTTGAGTTGGAGGAGTTTCAGGAGCAGGGTCTTAGAATACAAGAGGTGATCTTGCATGTCTAAAATCTTCAAATTTGGCTGTCTAAAATCCATATTTAGGCATCTAAAGATCTAGCCTGATTTTGGAGAGGTGCTTACCACCTGCAGCTGCCTTTGAAGTCAATGGGAATTGTCAGGTGCCTACATTTATTTAGATGCCTAATATGGAATCAGGCGTCTAGAGTTAGGCACCCAAGTTTAAAAAATTTGCCCCATATGAGCTGCACCAGGATACAAGAGTTTGAATGAAGGGCTGAATATGGAAAGCTTAGCCCCAACCTGACCCTTTTTGAGATTTGAAAGGGTGGGCCTGGAAGCAGAAGTGCCAGAATACTAGGAGGGGCTCCTTGGTTTGAATCCAGCCTGGCCAGAACGAGATCCCACCAATTTCATGAGAAATGGCACTGGTGAAATGTGCAGTCCCAAGAACGCTGGGATAAGCATCCAGATTCTCAGGTTTAATACTGAACTCACCCAACGCTGAAGATTTTGAGGTTCGCCCATTGCTACCAATTAGGAGGTCTGGAAAGAGCGGATAGTCCGCACTGTAGCAGTACCTCCACCGTAGCTTTGACTACACCAGTGGGACACTGTGGCAATGGAAACTAGAAACTCAGTGCATCTCATTTCATTGCAAACTCCAAACTCAGACCAAGCTCAATAAGGTTTGCAAACCTTTCAGCGAGCTCGGGTCTATGTTCTGACACAACCTCGATCCAATTTATAGCTTCATGTGGAATCCTGGGCACCTTTGCCCAGCTCTGTGGGTGTCTACCTAAACTGCTTGTGCAAAAATCATATCTGCATGTGCAAATGAGGCCATAGGAGCTCAGGATGGGTCACTGCACACCATGCCCTTTTGGACATGAGGAAATGGCTGACACGATTTAGACAGCTATTTTTCAAAATGGTTTCCCCATCTCTCTCTCTTTTTAAACTATATCCTTTCAAAAAATCATTGGACAGACAGCAATGCCTGGTTCTGCTTTACATGGTAAAAGTCCAGATAAGAGACTAGAAAACATGACCTATGAGGGAAGATTGAAAAAATTTGGTTTGTTTAGTCTGGAAAAGAGAAGACAGAGGGGATATGATAACAGTTTTCAAGTACGTAAAAGGTTGTTACTAGGAGGAGGGAGAAAAATTGTTTTTCTAAACCTCTGAGGATAGGACAAGAAGCAATGGGCTTAAATTGCAGCAAGGGAGGCTTAGGTTGGACATTAAGAAAAACTTCCTAACTCTCAGGATAGCTAAGCACTGGAATAAATTGCCTAGGGAGGTTGTGGAATCTCCATCATTGTCTACCTGCTCTTAAAAATCTCCAAACACCTGTCAGGAATGGTCTAGGTAATACTTAGTCCTGCCATGAGGCAAGAGACTGGACTAGATGTCCTCTCAAGGTCCCTTGCAGTCCTATGATTCTATGCCAGGACAGATTTTCTGGGAAGTCTGGAAGGGGAAAGGGGGAAGAAGAAGAAGAAGAAGAAGAAGAAGAACCTACAACCAAGAAACATACCAACCAATCAACCAGAAAGGGATTTTTAACATTATACAGCTTGATTCCTAAGCTGGTTTAGTCATAGCTGAAAATTTACATAAACAGAGGATCTGGCCCATGATGTTTTAAAAAAGTTTCACTGTTTATTTTCTTAAAATGTTCCTAACTTTTGTTTTACTACCAGATCTCCAATATGTCAACTCCACTTTTTTTTTTTTGGTTTGCTAGCCTTGCCAGGGAGAATCAGGCACCTTTTTTAGGGTTTATGGTGGGATTAGCATAGGAATTAGAGATATAACATGGAGAGCGCGAGATGGGGTGAACACGTCCTATACAGAGGTAGGCAACTAGGGGCTCACTAGAGCAGCGATATAAAGAGGCTGGGAGAAGGCCTATGAGGGTTAGCTCTCCCTGGCTGGAAACAGGGCTGGGAAGGTCTGAGGACCAAGCCAGGAAGCATTGAGAAACTGATCCTCTGCCTTAGACAGGAGGATTAAACTGGGTCCAAGAGATTTCTTAACTTAATGGCTGTTTCTTTTCTCCCCTGCCTGAAGCCAACTGTCCTTTCTTTGACATTTCTCTCTTTGTTTTTGACCAAGCCGAAGCAAGCCCTGGTCCTGACTCCCTTTGAGCCAAGGTGGAGAAATACTCTGTATAGAAAATGAGCAAGCGAGTGTGTGTTAAACAGGATGTTGTATTGTGTTTCCCTCCCCACACTCCTGTTACCTGCAGCTAAGGCCTGGGACACACTCAGACAGAGCTCTTTTTAATCTGAATACAAAGCAACGTTTAAAATTTTAAAATGTCTCTACATATAAACTGGCTGGAGATGCTAGGAGAGAATGGAGGGATGGAGCATGACTAGGAGACCAGAGGGTAAAAAGTGGTGCGACTTGGGTGCTTGAGAAAGGTTTACATGACAGTGGGGAACTGGCTCTTCATTTCCACACTTGTTAATGTTTGACCTTTTGTAAAAAAAAAGTGCAGGATTCTAAGAAAGTAATTTTATTTTTGTATTAGTCATCACTGAAACATGCTTTCAGACTTAACTTTTTTCTTAAATGAAGTTATGTTTTTAGATTTGAGGTGAATTCTGAACTTAAAATAAGATACTGACGATAGCAGAAACAGTAAAAGCACTCTCGTACTTCATGGTTGAGTGCAGGTGCTTTGTAAGTTTCCCCTGCACAGCTGTCAACATACTTTAATTTCAACCTGCAACATTGCCTACTATTCCAATCGGGAACCTATGCAGCTCTGCCAACACACCTCAATCCTGACCCGCAGCATCTCATGCTATTCCAATCCTGTCCACCCCTACAGCTTTGCCAGTGCACTTCTATTGTGATCTGAACCATGCCTGGCAATTTCAGCCCTGTGAGTAAAGCTATGTTTATGGTTTTGTATTAAGGACTGAGGACTAAATCAAGACACCCAGACAAGCTTCTGACCCAATTAGTACTGAGGTCTCCAGTCACTACCCCGTCACTCTGACACTTAAGTCGCCTGTATTTTGGGGGAGAGAGATGGTGAGATCTGGGGCACTGTTCATAACAGACATATGATTATATCTATATCACTGATGTGGCCAGCTTGGGTGGGCCCTATTATCACCAGGGACTCTTACAACAATTCCAAGCTTGGCAGAACTTTAGGAGAATCGATCAAGAGTAACTCATGGCAGACACTGTTGGACCTGTGAGTCAGGAACCGGGGTGGACAGGCAGACAAGAAGCTTGTTTCAATCCCACCACATAGGGATTGTGAAAAGAGAAATGGAAAAATCATCAGCTACCACAGCAACAGGGTTGGCTCTGGCTTTTTTGCCCCCCAAGGCAAAAGCGCCTCCCGCCGCCGCTCCCCCCTCCCCCCAGTGTGGCAGGGGAGGGCGCCGAGCTGGGCAGCGGGATGCTCTCCCCGACCGGCCGGAACGCTGGGGGGAGGGCGGCGAGCCCGCCGCGGCTCCGCTCTCCCCAGCAGCCGGGGCGCCGCTCTCCCCGGTGGCCGGGGCGCCGCGCCGCCCCTCTCCAGGTGCCGCCCCAAGCACAAGCTTGGTGGGCTGGTGCCTGGAGCCGGCCTTGCACAGCAAGGTCAGATTCTGGCATCTCCTGACGAAGAGGATTCCACAGTGAGCCTTCACCCTCCCACACCCAGCCAAGGGGTGGGATGGCAATGCGAGATGAGGCTATGTCTTTGCAGAAATTGCACATCTGTGTCTTTCCCACCCCATGAAATCCAAAGTACAGTAATATTAGTGATGTAGATTGAACACATTTGTAGGTATGCCTTGTGCATCAGAGAAGAGGTGGTGGTTGTCCCAGCCTATAATGTTCCATTACAAGGAGAAATACAATATTTCTTGAGGATAGTAATAGGCAGACACTAAGCTATCTGTTCAGATTTCGCCCTCTGCAGCAAGCCTTCCATAGTTAAGGTTGCAACCAGGGTTCCATTACAAACCTTTATTTTTTTAAAGATTTAATTATAACTTGTAGTTTAGTAATCTCACTGAGTACACATGTTGATTAAGTCTCTGTTACATTGCCCCATATAAAAAATCTAGACAGCTAATGTTGCCACAAGCCACAATAGAACAAACATACAGAAAATACATGACGAGAATTAAAATTAAAAAATCCTAAGCATTAAAAAGAATGAAAAAAAAAGACTAGCTAAAGACTTACATTCATGTTCTAATACTGCTATGGGTCATTAATTTGGGGTTTGGATAGATTAGGAAAATGAGTGGTGTTTTAAAAGTTTTAGCTTATGTGTATTAACTAACATGATTTTAACACTAGCACTGAATGTGGACAAAGACAGTGACGTTTAAAAACTTGTTAGCTGGCTCTGGTTAACACACTTAACTTTGGGAAACTTCTTGAGAAGCTAAGCAGAGTCTAGATGCTGGGTAACTACCTCCAATTAAACTATTCCTCCCTCCCCAACAACAACAAGACAATTTTCTCAACCATACAAGTATTGTAATAGTACTTCAAGTGTAAACCTTAAAATAATCTGAACTGTTTTCTTTCTCTCTTTGCACCTGTGGGGCCCAAGTCTCCTCTCCCTTAGTGGCATAAATCAGAAGTATGTCTGATGAAGTAAATGGAGTTACACCAGTTTTACATTGCTGTGTAAGTGGGAGGAGATGAAAGCTAGCAGAACTGAAAAATCCTTTTGACTCCACTAAAAAAAGTTAAGAGGGAGTACCTGTGCTAGGAGAAACAGCTTCTGTCTCCAGAGCTGCCAGCCCAGCACCTTTCAGCAGTTGCTAAAAATTAGCTTTAAAAAAAAAATAACTTTGAGTGTGTGATCACTCCTGGCACTGCAGTGTGATATGAAAGGAAGCGCATATGGGACTGTGTGATCAGAGAAAAATGATAACTGTGTCATCTAAAAATAAACCTGCTGTTTGTTCTGCAAAGACCCATCACTGTGCTCCCCCAGTAGCAGCCAGAGCACAGCAGTCACTGCTCTAAGAACTAAGTAGCAAAATAAACAATCAGTGGGTGGTACAGTTTTTCCAGACAACATCATACGTCTGCATGTTGAGTGTGTTTGTGCATTTGCATGAGCGAGCAGGATCACATGGTGTGTACATATGCACGAGCACGTGTGTAGTTAAGCATCCAGTTCCATTCATATATACCCCTCTTCAGAAACCAGAGATGCCTTTTAGTCACTGCCAGAAACAGGATACTGGATTTAGATTGACTATTGGTCTAATCCAATAATGGAGTCAAATAAGAGACAATCTTTGGGTGGATATACACATAATGAACTCCTGCAGAGCAAAGATTACAATGGGAGACGGCTCTATTATCCTCACAGAACAGTGCGTAAATCCCTCAGGATTAAGGGACACCTTTAAGGAATTAGGAATGGATGTACTGGATCAGACCAGTCATCCATCTAGTATCAGTATCCTGCCATTAACCGTAACTAGTATTGGACGCTTCAAAGGAATCTATGTCTACACTGCAATAAAAGACCCACAACTGCCAACTGACTCAGGCCCACAGAGCTTGGGTCAGGAGCACCGGAACCTGCATAGAAGTGGGGTGATCACCAGAGCCAGAACTATGTCCCCATCCCTGCTCCTCCTCTTCCCCCAAAGGTCCTGCCACCACCTGCTCCTCCCCTTTCCCCTGAGGCCCCACTCCCTAGTCAGGCCAGACAGCCGGAGCCAGGCCATGGTAAGAGCTGCCCAGGGAGCCTGTGCCACTGTAGGGAGCCCCAGATCCTCTACCTGCTCTGGGCAGGGGGCGGGAGAGCAGCCCCCAGCTCATGTCCCTGCCCTCTGGTGCAAACTGCCCAAGGCAGGTGGAGGGTCCGGGGCTCCCCACAGCAGCCTGGGTTCCCTGGGCAGCTCTTTCCACAGCCCAGCTTCGGGCCTGGCCAGGGGGGAGGACTTCAGGGGAAGAGGAGGAGCAGGGGGCAGGGCCCCATGGTGGGGCGGGGGCAGACTAAGGCCCACCTCAGCCCCACCACAAGGAAGAGGCATGCACCACTAGCAGGGGCTGCACTTTGTGGCAGGGGAGCTGATCATCTTCTCAGCTCCTCCGCCACAAAGTGCAGCCTCTGCCAGCCTGCCTGAGACTAGTAGGCCCATGTTAAAAAGTGGGAGGGCCATGGCCACCCTGCCCACACCCCTGGTTCGGGTTACAGGGCTATAACATTGCAGCGAAGCCATTCAGGCTCGTGCTGGAGCAGTATTATGCCTCTGGGAGAAAAATTATTCCTCCTGATCCCAAGTGGTGATGAGCCTATAGCCTAAAAGGAAAGGATTGATAAAGCTCGTAATCCCATCCTAGGTACTGTAATGCCAGATGCTATTCTTATTCACAGAAACAGCCCATTCTTTTATGAGACTTACTATTTCCACATGCTGTGCTCTGAAGAATCTCAAGGCACAGACTTGGTTTCTTTAAGGAAGTGCTTATCATTTTACACAAGGACTCCAAAGAGTGAGATAACCACCAGCAGCCTAATACGTAAACCCTTCAGGACAGGGATTATCTCTTTTTTGTGTTTTGTACAGCACCCAGAACAACAGGGCCTCAATCCAGATTGATGCCTTTGGGCAATACTATAATTAAAGTGTTAATAATAATAATAAAAAAATTCCCTAATTCCTCTACAGAGCAGCTGGGTCTCTAGACTAAACACAAAGACAGCAACAATGTATCACCTTTTCTAGCACATGAGGCAAATTGGAACACAGCTACTCACATGCACTCCAGCTGAGTCCACGTGCATCTCTTAGGAGATAACTAACTCCTTAATGACTAGATGAACTGACACTGCAGAACACTTACATCACACTTGATAAACACCTGGACCCAAAAGGGGGCGAGCCAAAACCAGAAACACACAGACTGCATCAGAAGGCACCTAGCTTATAAAACAACATTTCAGGTTAGCCATTCTCTAACTGTTGTCTGATGCTGCATCCCAGCCTCAGAGCTGCCGTCCTTCTGTTTAGAGCGAGACATTCATTTACAGCTTATTTTTAAAAGCAAACAAATTCAAATGTTTTTTTTAAAACTATTAAGGAGAAAAAGAGAGAGAGAGAGAGAGAATGTGGAGAGACCTAGCAACAAAATTTTGAACCCCTGCTTGGCATTTGCCAAAAATCATTTGGGTCTCACAGGAGTTCTGTCTCACAGGTTACATTTACAGGGGATGTCTTATTAGCCTAGCCTTAGGTTTGAAATGTGTAGATTCTATGGAATCAGTCTCTCCAATATCAGGGGGGTCAACTCAGGCTTTTATCCATTTGACGTACGTACATCAGGTTCCACACAATTTACTGTGTGGAGGCAGTACAACCTTTCAGGGTCATTGTAAAAGCAAATTTGGCCCCAAACTTTTTTGTTGTTGTTGTTGGCTTTTTTGGGGAGGAGGGGAAAAGGGATACTTTTACAAAACTGATCATCAGAAACATTACAAATCTGATGGAATCAGATTTTAGAAACAAAACATCTCCTTGCAGTGTCCTCAGCACAGGTCTGTACTGATGCATGAGAATCTGAGAATGAAAGTGACTTTTAAAAAAAAAGTGAAACTAACATATCTTCATTGTCCAACCAGAGAGAAATAATAAAGTAAACACAGAACATCTATAGTGGAAATTTTGATTTAATTTTTAAAATGTTCATTTTAATCTGTTTTAGTAATGTAGGTAAAGCAATTTCTCTTTTTAAATGATGTTTAAGTTACTATCCCTTTAAAATCCGTGGCCCTATATGGTTTTGGTAGGCATTAAAAATCCCCCAGCACTTTCTATAAGAGCAGAGTGTTTGTCCTGCTATCCCTGGACAACACTGCCCACCACACACACTGTTGTACAGTGGGCTGTGCTCTTGCTTGCTGCCCTCCACCCCAGAAACAGCTGCATTTCACTGGACCTGTGTCTATACCATTTATGAAACACTCTAGGATCAAAAAGCATTCCAGAAAGAGAGGGATCACATCTATCAAAGTACAGAGAGGAATGGGAGTATGAATCCCAAAGCTGTCTACAGACAATCTTGCTGAAGGACTCTGTGCTGGTGCAATGTAGAAATGGGGAGTGTACAATCTAAATGTAGTGCAAACGTTTCCAAGAGGTACAGAGGTACAAAAACTTTTAATCAAGCTTTACAAACAGACCACCCCAGCCTTCCTCCCCCTCCCCATGCTCCTATACCAACTCTGGTACCTCCTGATCTTGGGAACTCCATGCTGGACAGCCATGAGGGTTTTCTGAGCTGTGTAAGTCCTTTAAAGCAGCTGGCCCCTCCCCAGGGAATACCATGGCACTTTATAAATCCTGTGCCTTTAGATTTAGCACAGCACTTGTCACAACACTAACCATCCTTTTTCCATCTCTTTCTCAGCGTGAGCTCCCAAAGTAGCCTTCTTAGCTGACATGTTCACTTGTTTAGCACCAGGAAAACCACAAAAGATGTCAGAGTGGGGCCTGATCCTGCAAACCCTTCCTTGCACTGGCTTTGGTGGGACTACTTGCTTGAGAAGAGGTCTGCAGGATCAGGTCTATGTTCTGGACAGGTGAAATGAGTGTGTAACGATCAGAATAGAGACACCCTTCCTCTGGAAGTAGGCAGGTGCTCCTTCAATCCACACAGCTGTCTCCCATAGTAATGGTTATTTGAGTATTAATTGCCAACAGGTACAGGAATCCACTGGTTCAGCAGCTTAACAGTCCTACTCATTGGGCTTACTTTCCCCCACAAACTAGTAACAGTTCTCACACCAATACAAACCCTGCTAAACTTATATTGCTTTCTACACTCATGTTGGCAGGATCTGTTTAGGCACCAAGCCCCTGGGCTCATCCAACATTAACTGAGACCTCTTCCCTCTCCCCCAAGAATGTTAGTAATGGCTATTTGATTATATTAGCCCCTGGACTAATTAACTTGGGAGTGGGGAGCAACAGGGATTAACATTCACTGAATATATGGAGTGTCTTCTCCTTCCCTCTCTGCCAGGAAATCTGATTTTGCAATCACAGGACTCCATTCAGCAAACATCTCTCTTGTCCTTTAAACTGTAGCCAAGCTGATAAAAAGTAGTTGGAAATAAAAAGCCGTAAACAGCAAAGGAAAGACAAATAGACAAGTGGCAAATGAGATGAAGAGGAGAGGAAAGAAGCGACCCACAATGCAAAACTAACTCTTACCTTCTGCATCAGTTTGTTTGAAGGTGAGTGTAAGGTTTAGAGGCACTAAAGCCACCCTGTAGCCCAGCTGCGTGTCCACTTCCCCACTTCTGTAGCTCAATCAGTGGCTCCAACACCCTCCTCTCCCCAGCTTCTGTTTGGTTACTAATCCTTACTGCACAGGAAAAGGAGAGAGTTGGATTTCATTTAACCCCTTGAGCCTCAAAGTTTCTTTCTGAGTTTCCTGTTTTGCTTTTGAAAGACGGAGTTGTAACCACGCACACATGGAAGAGCCTGATTTAGGATGATTTCCAGTTCCCTTTGAATGTGTGCATCCTTTAATTGAAAATTGTGCTGCAAGTTATTGCCTGGGTGGAGCCCTTCATAACTAGTTTTATTGTAGCTGCAGGCAGCATATCAAGAGACAGATACAGTAATTCCTAGTTCCACTCACTGTTCCTTATTTTCAATACATTCCCAAGTCTAAATAACAAAATATTGAATTTAATCACATTTCCTTTGAAACTAGAGATGGGCCAGAGCCACAAGTCATCAACAAGGCATCCCCTAGACTGTGGGAAATTTGAATCCAAATCCAGTTTACAGCTGGCCCCATCTCTATGATGGGCTTAACCAGACCCTCAGATCTGAAGGTCCCAGCATTTTGGAGGAGTTAGGCCTATATCCAGAGATGAATATTACAGCTTGGGCCCATCTCTATTGGAGATGCTCTTTTCTCCTTTAACATGCACCATGTAGTTTACATCCCCTGTGAAAAACCAGCTGGGAGAACAATTTAGCAACAATAAAAACTGCTCAGGAGCAAAGAAGCTGACAGAATTCCAGTGTAGCTAATGGATGACGGTGAGTTCTTGCTTGCAGTTCCCTCTTTGATCTTGAAAACAGAGTCTCTTTCATGCGTTGATCTGGGCCCCTGTCCAGGGCAAAATAACTTTAAGGATCCAGATAGCTGGTCCACAAAATGGGTTCCACACCAGCAATGATGTAAATTACATCGACTTAAAGTGATGTCTACACCGCGCGCTGTGTCAGCAAGACATGCTCTCCCCATCGACATAGTGCATCTTCACCAGATGTGCTACAGTGATGCAGCTGTGCTGATGTAGCGCAGTAGTGTAGACGAGCCCAAAGAAACTTACTTTTAAAGGAGAGCTGAGGTGCTCACGTGTTCACATGACTCCAGGAGCTGGGGCTTTAGGAAATACACCAAAAAAATCCTGAGAGCTGGTAACACTGCTTCTGTACTTGATAATCTTACAGCAGAGATTTTTGCCCACGAGGCAGATCTACTGACAAGCAAATCTCAAATGGTGCATGGTGCTCAGCTACCAAGCTGGTGGGTGCCATAGGAGAACCCAGGTATGCTTTTCCCCGGGCTGTAACCAGGGTGGCATGAGCAGGGAAGATGCCTGGTGTGCAAAGCCGTGGGGGATGCCTCGTTACATTTCTGGCTTTTCCAGATACAAAAAAACCAACCCTATACTTTCCCTCTAAATTACTATTACATAAACAGTAAGGTCTGTATGAGAGAGCACCCAGTGTGTCTCTCCTGTGTCAGTCTGCACAGCAATGAAAGCAAAATGACCTCCTGTCCCTGTAGACTGCAGAACCCTGTAGATTTAAAGGTGCAGTACACAAACCAATGCATCACAGTTACACAACCAAATAGCTGTTCCTCTCATCCATCCCTTGTCAGCATGTTGCATATGAGAAAAATCCATTTAACAACATACAAATTATTGTCCTGTCACAATAGAAGCTGCTCTCCACACAGCCATCCAAATTCTCCTTTGACAAAGCTGGGGGGCTGGGCAGGAAGAGGCTGCAGCTGCTGGTGTCTCCATGTGACTGAGACACACACATCCTCCAGCGCTGTTGGCTCAGGTGAAGGACAAGGAGGCCTTCCAAAGGCTCAGCTTCCTCTACCAGGCGGCTCACTGCGTCCTCGCCCAGAATCCTGAGAACCAGGAGCTGGCACGGTTCTACTGTCACGTGCAGTGCAGCATCAGCCACAGGCTTGTCCTGAGACAGGACCATCTGCAAATCCTACTCGGCCCTCCTGGTCCCTGGTGTCAGCTCCATGGTGCTCCAGAGAAGATGCCGCAGCCAGCACTGGACAGTCGTACCGTGTCTCTGCTGCGGCCAGACCAAGTGCTTCCCAAGCAACCCAGCATACAAGCTGTAGGTGGAGCAGCCCACGGCGCTGCTGGAGAACCAGCCCCAAGCCAACCAGAAACCTTTGTTGCCAAGTCTCATGATTTTATAACAAGTCTTGTGTTAGCTGATCTTTTTCTTAATCCCCACAGGCCTTGGCATCGTGTGAATATTACCAGTCTCTCAGCTTGTAATATTTTTTTAAAGTAAATGTATAGCCCTCACAGGTGTGGAGAAAAGCTTGTAAACATGATCCCTAAAGCTTCCAAAGCCAGCAGGCAAATAAACAGAACTCCAAATGCATTGTTTTAGAGATCTCATGATTTTTAAGCCATTCTCATGATTTTGGAAAGCTTGGGTTTGGCAATGCTGCTCTTGTGACACTGACAGGAGGGATTTGGGGAGGAGGAAAGTAATTGCCCACATTGAAATCTAGCCAGGACATAGCCAAGAAAGAGCTGTGCCTACTTTACTAAAGCAGATACTGGCTGCACACAGCATCTGGAGACTTTTAACCATAAAGATCTAAGAAATGTTCCCTGGGGATGTTGAAATAAAATCAGAACTGACCATAAGTTTCACTCCAAACTCAATCTGAAACTTTGGTGAAGTTCATTTCATCAAAAAACCCCAACAGCCAGCCAAACAAAAAAGGCCTTGTACCTCACACTTCCTAATTCCAACAGGAGGGCAGGAACACGGGAAAAAACAAAGGCTGTTCTTGTGGGATTTTAGTCCAGGCCCAGCTCATCTCAGGAAATCTGTACTGTGGGTCTCACAAGACAGCTTGAAATTGCAAAATTTCCAGGCCAAAGTGGTGCCCTAAGGATACATTCTAAGCAACCACATGATTGGGTATAAGCGTGCAACAAATTTCTGCATGGTGATCCCACGCTTGCTATTGTAAGTAGTTAAAGTGTACACAGTTTCTGTGAAAGAGGAAGTAGTGATCCCTGTGTACCTTGTAAGTTCTGGAAACACTTTTGAATGGAAAAAAAGAGGTGACAACGCACCAAGGTCATTCTCAGAATTTCACAATGAACCCGAGATTTATGATGCAGCAAGTCTAGTCAGACACACACTCACTCTCTCCACCAGCCTGCTTCGTCCAGGGGATGCATGCAGGGCCGGCTCTAGGTTTTTTGCCGCCCCAAGCAAAAAAAATTTTGGCTGCCCCCCCCGCCCTGGGCTCCCCCCCACCAGTGCTGACTCCGCCCGCTCCCCCCTCGCCTCCAGCCAGTCCAGCGCTGGCAGGATTGGGGTAAGCAACAGGGCTCTTGGGCCGTGCCTCAGCCCAGGGTCCCTCTAGCCAGGGCTCCCGCCTCCAGGACCGGCCGGGACCCAGGAGGGCAGAGCCAGGGGACCGCCCGGCAGGGTGCTGAGGAGCGGGGCAGGGTAGCCCCAGAGGAAGCGGAGCCCCGGAGAGCGGGACGTGGGCCCTGCACGGCAGCGCCCCGCCCTCTATGGCTCCACTGCTGCTGCTTCTGGCCGCTCTGCCACTTCGCCCTGCAGGCGGCTCCGTATGCCCCGCAGGGTGGCCCCCAGCCCGAGCGTCCCCTGCTCAGCACCTGCCCAGGCAAACTGCAGCGGCCCCAGGGGACCCCTGCGCATGAGGCTCTGCTGCTGCCAAGGCCAGCTCTAGGCTTTTGCCGCCAGAAGCAAAAAAAAAAAAGCCAGAGGGGTGACCACCAACAGGAGGAGAATTTGGGTGAGTCAGGTCACCTGTTTTATATTGTCAATGAAACATTTTTGGCACAAAGCACGTTATGAAGGAAATCCCTTCTAGTATGCTGTTGATCTCTTAGGCAGGGGTCTGTCCTGGCAGCAGCAATACCAGATTTTCTTCCAACAAGCCCTCAGAGCACTTTTAATGGAAAGGAACCACCAGACTCCCTTATTGCCAGGGAGATCCCTTTCTCCTTTCAGAAGGACTGATTCCTATAAGAATACAGAGCCTGACAAGCTTCACATGGCTGACAGGCTGTTGCTATTTAAAGTTCCCTTCATTGTTTTAGCAAAACCCAGTAATATCTGTGTACTTCCTGCAGGGAACTGACAGCCAGGGACTTGGCTTCTAACCCCAGCTCTGCCATGACTCACTTTATTATCCTGAGCGTGTCACTTGATCCCTTGGACTCTCAGCTTCCTCATCTCTAACACAGGGATGACAATACTTACCTACCCTCAGAAGCGCTAGCCTGTGAGGAGTCGTTAAGGTTCATGAAGCACTTTGAGCCCTTCAGATGAAAGCTGGAAAGTATTATGAGACTTCCCTTGTAGATGGACTCTGCTGTGTGACTACAGCAAGGTCTGAAATAACTTACTGTACCAAACAAGTTACTTGCAATAGTTACTTTTTATCAGGAATTCTTGCACTGCTCCATAACTGCCTCTCTGCTCCAGGTGTCTGGCCACCTCCGCACTCCTGTGATCTCTCTCCTGGAGTGCTGAGGACTGGCTCACTCAATGCAATGTGATCAGATGAATTAATAGAACTTCTGTATGATTACAATTATTAGCAGATATGTTCTTTCTGTGGCACCCGGGTATAGGGCTGAGCAGGAGCCTGGTCAGGTTAGGAGAGGAGGCAATAGTATCTGAGTAGGATGGGGTAAAGTACATGAAAAATAATTCCCAATATTAGCAGGGCTACAGCCACATGAATCAATAATCTGTGAGTACTGCTATTATTATAGTGTCTTCGACACACACAGGCTTGGAATGAAACAAAGAATTCTGCCTAACAATTCCCAAAACAGGAGTCTAAAGTTAGGCTCCTACATTCATATTTAGGCACCTGCCTGTCAACACCCAGAAGCGACCACTGATCTCAATAGAAGCTGTTGGGCACTCAGCATTTTTTAAAACTAAATGTTCATATGGTTGTTTTACATTTGCAGAGGTGGGGAATAGGGGATTCTAGCTCATCCTGCCCAAGGTGGATACCAGCTGGGGCTATTTCACCTCTTGATGCAGGAGACTGTAAGGCCAGGCTTTGTGGGGGGTGCAGAGCTTTCATTCCAGCCCACCACTTCCCTTGGGAGTTCTTCCCCATGCATGAGCATGCTGGCCGAGTAGAGAAGGCCAGTACTGGATGGATGCTCTGGGCTTACTGCTAAGATGCAAGGGGTGAGTGCTCCCAAACAAAGCTATACTCCCGTTCGTTCGTTCATTCCCCCGAGGGGCTGGGAGCATCTGGCAAAGTCC